ACAAAAAAGTCGATATTAAGAAAAAAATTGTAAATGGAAGATTATAGGAGAGGGTTTCGCGTGCCAGCAAAAGTTATTGGCATGCCATGTTTGGCACGCATGCCAAGGGCTGCCCACCCCTGACCTAGACGGTATTAAACTAAGTGAAATAAGCCAATCAGAGAAAGACAACTACCATATGCTTTCACTTATGAAATCTAATGAACAAAATAAACAAAAACAAAACAAAATAGAAACAGACTGATAGATACAGAGAACAGACTGACAGCTCTCAGAGTAGAGGGAGCTTCAGGTGCTGAGTAGTGATTAAGGACAAAAATAAAATTCCGTATAGCCACAGACAACAATATGGTGGTTACCAGAGGGAAAGGGGGAAGGAGGAAGGTAGAAGAGGGTAAAGGGGAGGTAGTTATTGAAGGTGAATACACAATACAATACAATATACAAATGATGTGTTTCATAGGAGTACACTTGAAATCTAATTTTATTAACCAATATTATCCCAATAAATTTAATAAAAATTGTCTGCAAATTTTGCTTAGACTAGAAGTAAACCACTTATCAATTTTGTTTTAATCATCACTATTGGTGTACCCTGTAGGTGTAAAATTTGGCTTCCACACTGTCAGAATTTCTTGGGGGCCAGACTTCAGAGACTTCATAGATAGTTCTGAAGTCTTTGGATTTGCTCTGAAGTTATTGGCTGCCCAAGTTATCATTTGAGGTGGTGAATTTTCTACATTATCTTGGTCTTTCTCTAGATCATTTTTATTCAGTTCCTCATTTTCCCTGTGATAATGGCCACATATTGTTGGCTTTATAGCTTTCTTAGGTTTTCTTGAAGGGGTAGGAATTTTTGGAAAGGCTCCTTTCCTTGAACTCACTTAAGGACATATTTCACCCCCATGGCTCCTTTCCTTGAACTCCCTTAAAGACATCTTTTCACCCCCATGGATGTCTGTAGTACCTGGAAGGACAACAGAGTGAGCACAGAAGGACATTGGTTTGTGGGGAAATGGCTGGGATGAAAGGGAAAAAAGTCTTCATGAGGAAAAGTATGGGTTGAGGATGGTATCTGCCAGGCAAGACCAGGGAGTCTTGGGGATATGCCACTAAAGAAGAGGAGGAGAATTTTGGATGTGGTCCTTTTATCCTGGACACTGGACCTGGGTTAACAGTGCTTCTTCTTCTTTTACCTTCTTTTGGTGAATGGGGTTGAATGTTCCATAACTGCACTAGGGGTTTGTGGTTTCCTGGTCACCTTCACTATGTCAAAATTTCCCAGGGCCCTACCCCAGGCCTCCTGAACATGTGCTTTTCTCTAGGACAATGAGGGGGCACACTCCAGAGAAATTTTCCATCTCACCCCCCTTTTTCCAATGTCCATGTGGCTCTCCCCAGCTTTCTGTTTTCAAGGTTGAAATCATTGCGTTGAGGCTGTCTTTAATGAATAGAGTTGCTCAACTGGTTATCTTAGCTTTGTTTAAAATCTTGGGGGTGATCATAGTAGATACAGTATCTAGATTTGGGGTTTAACAGTATAAGGTGAATGAGGCAGGAATTTAAATTCCTGAAGTTGGGCTTCCTGTTTGTATGCTGAAAACTGCACCTCCCCCCCTCAAACCCCACTTCCTCATGGAACTCGGGGAGTCAGACCCTTGGTCTGAGGATTGCAGACTCAGGTTCATAGAGGACAGGGGGCCGAGGCCCTGTCAAAGTATGGATCAGACCAAGGGCTAAAGGACCCTATGGAATCCATCTCAGCCCCTGCCATCAGGCTTTGGAATTGCTGGGTTTGGCACCGGATGTGATGAAAACTGACTTCCTGCAGAGGACTCAGGGCAGTGAGGCCTTGATCTGAGGAGTTGGCCTTGAGTCAACAGAGGGAGGATCCCAGGACCTGCCAGGACTCAAGGTGAGGAACACGAGGGAGGAGGGAGGGACCCTGGACCCTAGAACAGAATCATCCCACCCAGGGCAAGATGATGACACCAGGTGATTTCTGCATCCGGGTCTCAGAGACTTGGGGGCTTTGGTATAGGGAGTGGGACCTCAGATACTCAGAGGACTGGCCCAAGTCCTGCCAGAGTCAAAGTGAAGACCCCAAGGAAACACTAATGGGACTCTGGAAGCCACAACAGAGGGGATCCCACCAAATCCCTCCCCCACTGTAAGCCCTGAGAGTCCCCAGGGTAGGATGACCAAATGCAGCATTTCCTGATGTCCACATCCTAGTCTGAGATACTCTGAGGATTCATTTTAAGGAACATGGTCTCAGGTTGGCAGAGGGAGGGACCAGGACCTGCCACAGTCAACATGAAGATGTAGCTACCCTTGATCCCATAACAGAGGGGACCCCATAGAAGCCCACCCTTGCTGTTAGCCCTGGGTGTCCCCAGGGTGGGATGACCACATGCAGTGTTTCATGACTTCCACATATGTGTCTGAGAAATCCTGGGAACATGATATCAGGAAAAGGGCCTCAGGTCCACAGAGGGGAGGGCCCAGATCCAACTGGAATCAAGGTGAGAACGCAGAGGGAGGACAGAGGGACCCTGGACCCCAGAAGAGAATCAGACCTGGAAGGCCCAGAGGGCAGAATTACCATACACAGCATGTCTTGACTTTTACATCCTAGTCTGAGAGATACTAGGGAATTGGTATAAAGAAAAGGACCTAGCCCTAGCCAGCTTGGCTCAGTGGATAGAACATTCGCCTGCAGACTGAAGGGTCTTGGGTTTGACTCTGGTCAAGAGCACTTACCTAGGTTGCAGGATCGATCCCTGGCCCTGGTTGGGGCTCAGGCAGGGAGAAGCCAATTGATATGTCTCTCTCACATCAGTGTTTCTCTGTCTCTGTCTCTCCCCCTCCCTTCCACCCTCTCTCTAAAAATCAATGGAAAAATATCCTAAGGTGAAGTTTAACTAAAGAAATAAATTTAAAAAATGTAAAAAGGGCCTAAAAAGAAGAAGAAGAAAAGGGCCTCAGGTTCACAGAGGGGATGCCCAGGTCCAGCAGGAAGTGAAAGTGTGGTTGTAGAGGGAGGATTAAGTCACCTTGGAACACTCACTCCTAGGAGCCCACGGTGGGGGAGGACCACAGTTTCCTGACTTTCCCTTTGGTGTCTGAGATGTTTTGGAAACTTCGTGTAAGGAAAAAAAACAGGGCCTCTGGATGGCAGTGGGAGGACCTAGGTTATACCAGGACAGAAAGGGAGAATGGAGGGAACCTGGACTCTGGGGTAGAGTAAGCCTGGGATGCCTCAGTGCAGGATGACCACAGGGGAATTTCTTAACTTCTGCATCTTGGTCTGAGCAAGATTGAGGGTATGGTATGACCAGAAGACCTCAGGTCAGCAGAGGAGGGGCCAATGTCCTGCTGCGAGTCAAGGTGGGAACACAGAGGGAGAACTGTGGGACTCTGGACCCCAGAACAAAGGGGATTCCACAGAAAGTCCCCTGCTGTAAATCCAAGGCCACTTCAGCTGGGGTGGGGGAGGGGCTGAGAATGTGATGTTTCATGACTTCCTGCTTGAGCATTTGAGAAAGGAGAGGTTTAGCCATAGAGGGCTGTACTCAGGGAGGCAGAGGGAGGAGGCCCAGGCCTTTTGAGGAGTCATGGTAAGGATTGTGAGAGAAGACTGAGTGAACCCACAAGAGAATGTACAAAAGCCTAGCCCTCCCTGTCCTTTCTGTCAGCCATGAGAAGACCTGAAGTGGTGTGGCTGCATTAGGTGGCCTGTCATTTTCATCTTTGGTCTCACATAAAGGTGAGACCTTCGTTTAAGGAGAGTGGCCTCAAGTAAACAGAGACCTGCCAGGCATCAAGGTGAGGACTGAGTAGACCCTACATCCCAGGACAGATGTACTCCATGGTATTTGGCCACTCTTTCTGTTCCCCTGGAAGCCCTGGGCAGGTGTGGCTAGATACAGGGCCCCCTCACTTCATTCTGTTCAGTTTCAGAGGTATGGGATCTTGTTCAGAGAGTTATGTCTCAGTCCAGCAGAGGGGTGGACCCCAGAAATAAGTTGAGGACCCAAAGTGAGCACAAAAGGGACCAGTGCCTCAGAACAAAGGGTGCCTCAGAGTCCAGCTTACTTCTACTATGAGCACTGGAGTCCCAGGATTGTGTTTGCAGTCTGTACCCTGATATGCTACCTCATTTCCTCTTACAGGGCTCCAGGAACTGGGAGGTAAAGGCCTTGGTCTGAGGCACATAACCTCAGGTCACAGAGCAGAGGAGGTGCAGGTGGTGCCAGCAATCAAGGTGAGTTGCATGACCTTAATGTGTTCCCTGAGACTCCCCATCTCAAAACAGGGGGAACCCCACAGCACCCAACCCCACCTTACTCCATTGTTAGCCCCAGAATCTTGGGAGTTCTGGCTGCACCCTGAGGAGCCATCTTACTTCCTCATTCAGGATATCTTAAGAGGAAGACTGCCCAGGAGGAGAGATCCCCATGAGGCCCAAAAGCATCCCTAAAGAGACCTGAAAGTCACCTTTGTCAGAGTTTCCAAAGGTGTGTTTCTCAACTGAGGTCACTCATATGTCCTCTTTCCCCCAGGCCTGTGTGGATTTCATCGCCCGCCTCCTGTTTATATTACTGCCAACAGGAGTCATCATCATGCTTCCTACTCCAAAGTGTTGGTACTGCATGCCTGAGGAAGGCCTTCAGTCCCAAAGTGAGGCACAGGGCCTCTTGTGTGGACAGATTCTTGAAATTAAGGAGAAAGAAGCCTCCTTAGACAGGGGAAGAAGTGTCTCCTTCCCCTCCAACTCCTGCTTTCCCTCTCCCTCCTCCTCTTCTTTCTCCTCTTCCTCTTCCTCTTCCTCCTTTTCCTCTTCCTCCTCCTCTTCCTCCTCCTCTTCAACCTGTACTTCCTGCTGCTGCTCCTGCTCTTCTTCCTCTTCCTGCTCCTCTTCCTCCTCCTGGTCCTCCTCCTCTTCCTCTTCCTCCTCTTCTTCCCCCCATTTCTGCAATCCTCAGACAACAGGAATCATGAAGGTACATGATGCTGCTGCTAGGGCACCATGTCCCCTCCAGCTTCCTCAGAGAGCCTACTTCTCTCCCACTGTCATGGCAGTCACTCCATCAACCAAATTATATCAGGGTTCCAGTAGGCAGGAAAAGGAGGGGGCAAGCACTTCGCAGGCTCTGATAGACACTGGGTCTTTGCTTAGAGATGCCATAGATGATAAGGTGGCTGATCTGGTGGGGTTCCTGCTCCTCAAATATAAAACAAAGGAACCAATCACAAAAGCAGAAGTGTTAAGTAGTGTCATCAAAGAGTACAAGGATCACTTCCTTATGATCTTTGACCAAGTATCAAAGTCCATGCAGCTGGTCTTTGGCATTGATGTGAAGGAAGTGGATCCTACCAGCCACAACTATGTCCTGGTCAACACCTTGGGCCTCACCTGCAATGGGATGGTGAATGATGAGCAGAGCGTGCCCAAGACTGGCCTCTTGATAAATATTCTGGGTGTGATCTTCATGAATGGCAACTGTGCTCCTGAGAAGGTCATCTGGAAAATGCTGAGTGTTATGGGGGTGTATGATGGGAGGGAGCACTTCATCTATGGGGAGTCCAGGGAGCTCCTCACCAGAGTTTGGGTGCAGGAACAGTACTTGGAGTACCGGCAGGTCCCCAAAAGTGATCCTGCACAGTATGAGTTCCTGTGGGGTCCCAGGGCCCATGTTGAAACCACCAAGTTGAAAGTCTTGGAGTTTTTGACCCAGATCAATGATACTATCCCCATGGCCTTCCCTCACTGCTATGAAGAGGCTTTGAAAGATGAGGAAGAGAGATCCCAGGGCAGAGTTATTGTCAGTGAGAATGGGGCAGCTAGGACCAGGGTCTGGGCCTATTCTAGAGCCACATCCATCAGCTTCTCCTGCGGCAAGTGAAATCTGAGGCAGATTTTTCACTCTGATTTTGAAGCAAGCAGTCAAAATGTTCTAAGTAATGGATAAGCAGAATAGGGATTGGGGAGATTTAGTATATGACATCTTCGTGTTCCTGTTCTATAAGGGTGGTTTGGAAATATTTTGTTTTTGGAATTTTTCTGATGTTGTTCTTATTAATGGAAAGTGTAATTAACTCAAAATTCTAAGTTTATAAATAACATTGGTCACAAATGTGTTGCAGTTTATCCAGTTTAAGAAGTGAGTGTTTTGCCTATTTTGTATTTATAGTAATTTACTACTATTGTCTTTTAACTTTCGTACTAGCTTTATAAGTGATTAATCTACTACCTTTACTGTATATTTACCTTTACCACTGAGATTTATACTTTTGTATGTTTTCTTGTCACTAATGAGCACAATTTCTTTTCAGTTTAAAAGAAGTCCTTTTAATATTTCTTGTAAGGCCAGTTTAGTGGTAATGGACTCCTTTAGCTTTTGCTTATATTGAAAACATGATCTCGCCACAAATTCTGAATAACTTTTCTTGGAAGAGTATTCAAGGTTGAATCTTTCAGCACTTTGAATATATTGTGTCACTCCCTTCTGGCCTGCAAAATTTCTGCTGAAAAATCTGCTGATAGTCTTATGGGACTGGGTGGGGGCTCATTTGTATATAGTAAGTTGTTTTTCTCTTGCTGCCTTTAAGATTTTCTGCATTTTAGTATTTTGTAAAACAAATTGGGAAACCTTCCATCTTATTTTGTGGGAACAAGATAGTATGGCTTCAAAAAAGTTTCCTTGGAAATTTGAAAGAAGCAGTAAAATTGATGGGGTAAAGAAATACAGGAAAAGTTTTAAAATATTAATGTTGGCCTTCCCTTATCTGTTTTATCATATTGTTCTATAAATTTAAAAGATGTATATCTGGATATGTGTGGCTTATTTAAAAATGTAGGAGAAATTAAATATGATTAAATAAGACCCCTGCTCACTGGTTCATTTCTTCTACAATCATTAATTAAACATCGGCTCTCAGGAAGGCCTTGTGTTAGTAGTGGGGACACTAGTATAAGCAGGACACACCCACCCATAGAATGATTGTCTAGAAACCACAGACATATAAGGAAGGGGGTGAGGAGTCCCATAAGACCTACAGAACAAGTAAAAGCAAGGGAGAAGAGCACTCAAGTGTAAATAGCCAAAACCAGGATATTTGGGGCTTTGGGGAACTGTGATTCCCTCTGTGGGAGTTGATTGTAAGGAAGCTGGGTGGTGGCCACTGCCAGACTTACAGACAGCATGTGTTGGGGGATGAGAGAAAAGCCCAGAATGGAAAACTGCAATTAACAGTTATTTTTGGGATAGTGGATAATCCAGAGCGGTCTGCACTTGGGACAGGTAGAGAAGGTGTCCTATACTCTTGTCCCAATACACTTGAATACACTATACTTAGTATGTGTCTTATACCCATTATCCTCAAGGATTTCTGGAAAATCCAGTGATATTCCTTTGAGGTGGTACCCAGAAGCCTCTAAGACTGACACTCCTCTCTCTGGCCATGGAATACCAGATCCACTCTATTAAAGAAAATATTTTAATTAGATGATCTTGAGTGTAATTTTCACAGGTCTAAGCAAAGGCTTGATATTTAGTAAGGTTGAAATGAATGAAAATTATGATCTGGTTGTAAGACAAAATGGGAGCGAAGGAAGAAGTTGGTTTTTGACACATATTCTAGGAGGTTTGAGTTGCTTCTAGGGAAAGCTGGGGAAGGCCCTCTTACCCCCAAATTAAATAATTCACCCTTGCCCAGCCAGTGTGGCTCAGTGATTGAGCATTTACCCATGAGCCAAGAGGTCATGGTTCCATTTCTGGTCAGGGTATATGCCTGGATATGGGCTCAATCCCCAGTAAGGGATCTGTAGGAGACAGCCAATCAATTATTCTCTCTCATCAATGATGTTTCTATCCTTCTCTCCATTTCCTTTTCTCTCTCTGAAATAAATAAAATACAATCCTATCTAGTAAAGAGGTAATATGCAAACTGACCATCACTCCAACACACAAGCTGGCCACCCCCATGTGGAAACAAGATGGCCACCACAAGATGGCCTGCAGGGGAGGGCAGTTGTGGGCAATCAGGCCAACAGGGGAGGGCTATTGGGGGCGACCAGGCCTGCAGAGGAGGGCAGTTGGGGGGAACCAGCCCTGCAGGGGAGGGCAGCTTGGGGGGAACCAGGCCTGCAGGGGAGGGCAATTGAGGGGATCAGGCCTGCAGGGGAGGGCATTGGGGGGCAACCAGGCTAGGAGGGGAGTGCAGTTATGGGTGACCAGGCTGGCAAGGGAGGGAAGTTAGGGTGACTGGGCCAACAGGGGAGGGCAGTTGGGGAGAACCAGACCTGCAAGGGAGGACAGTTAGGGGCAACCAGGCCTTCAGAGGAGGGCTGCTGGGGGAAATTGGGCCGGCAGGGGAGCAGTTAGGCGTCAATCAGGCTGGCAGGGGAGTGGTTAGGGGGTGATCAGGCTGGCAGGCAGAAGCGGTTAGGGGCAATCAGGCAGGCAGGCAG